AGGAGAGGGGTGTATTGCCCTGGCTGTCTGCCATGTTGGGGCTGACGTCTGTCCGGTCCAAAAGTTTTTTAACAACTGACTCGTGTCCATAGCCTGAAGCCCAAGAGAGCGGTGTCATTTCCGCGTTGTTTGATTTATTGGGGTTGACATCTTTCCGGTCCAGAAGTTGCATAACTACTGGCTCATGCCCTTGTCTCGAAGCCCAGGAGAGGGGCGTATTCCCATAGTTGTCTGGCATGTCGGGGCTGACATCTTTCCGGTTCAAAAGCAACTTAACGATAAGCCCGTGCCCTCTCACTGCGGCCCAGGAGAGGGGCGTAATCCCCTCGCTGTCTGGTTTGTCGGGGTTGACCTCTTTCCGGTCCAAAAGTTGCTTTACCCCTAACAATTGCCCTTCCATTGCAGCCCACGAAAGTGGCGTCCTTCCCCAATCATCCGGCTTGTCGGGATTGACATCTACCCGATCGAGAAGTTGCTTAATCACCGACTCGTCCACTTTCATGGCGGCCCACGAAAGTGGTGTATTGCCCTCATTGTCTGGCTTGTCGGGATCGATGGTTTCCTGCTCCAGTAATAGTTTCACAGTCTCTACATGTTTGCTTCTCACTGCCCATATGAGTGGTGTCATCCCAGCCGAATCTCTTCGGTTAGTATCACAGCCATCCATTCCTAACAAAACAGTCATGATCTCAACAATCCCGAAGAACGATACACAGTGTAGTCCACTGAACCGTGAAGGAGCATTTGCATCGGCGGAATCATAGGGTTCCAATATTTGCTCAAAAAGTGACTTAGAGGCCACGTGGTCCTCGTACTGCTCCAAAAGCTCCATTGCAAGCAATCTCGCGTGATTTGAAAGTCCTCGGTTTGCATGGGTGCCCCAATATCTCGAACAATAACTGAGGAAGGGTATAATCAAAGGGTCAGGTTCGGCCACTGATGAAAGGGTCTTGACGTAGTCCGAACTCAGGTAAGTCAAACAGGTTTCCGCCATTATCGAGTGAGCTGGCCCAAAAAAGTTGGGATCGGCGGAAAGGTGCTCGCGGAGTGTGTGGTGGATGAGCCGGACCGTCGAGGCTTCCTTATCCACCACGATCAGTCCTTGACAGCACGTGAGCAATGTCTCTATTGCAGGAACATTGTCGCTATTGAAATTTGTAGATCCAATCTCTACGCCGAGGGCATGACACAGTTCATCTACATGCAACGGCCGTTCCGAATAGCATATCCACATCAAGGTAGATATCGCAAGCCTCGCTTTCTCCCCCTCTTGAGCTCTTATCCGTTCCACAGTTGCCGCATATGCTTCTCCCAACCCTAACTTATCGCCGATCGTATTGAGCCTCTTTCGCCTCCGATGGATTGTTGTTTCCCGCAGGATTGCTTCTACCTTGAGCGAAACCAATAGGAATCTACACTCGCATCTATTAGTGTAAATGACCTACAAGGACCCTCCGGAACCCCCTGCTGCTACCTACGATTCTGATACCTCTTCGGGAATGTTCTCCATAATGTCTCTCTCTAGCCCACTATCCATCACCTCAGGAGTTGTGTCATTCCTCAGTCTCGCACGTAGATATGTGACTATATCACCGTCACCAGGCTTTACTGACACACTTGTTGCCCTCCCACCAAATTCTCTCTCGACCGCACCTCGAATGTGTGGCCTTCCCGTCATGAACAGTCGAGTGTTCGGCGACCTCTGGAGGATTTCCCGCAACGCACCAAGAACTTTGACTAAGTGCTTTGGAACACATTCGTCAAGAGCATCAACACATATGATTACTCGTTGTAATGATGAGACACTCGTGAACATCTTCACAACATCATGGAGTTGGAGTCCCCGACCACCTATCACCTTCTTCTGGCCCCGGAATTTCTGCGTTATTTCCATCGGGATTGATTCCAATCCACTAAGAAGTTGCTTGAGCACAGAGCCGAGCATATTTGTGGGAGACTGCTCTTCCCGGGAACCGAAGTCATAATAAAGACAAACGATGGCCATATCTTGCTCCATAGCCTGGTCGCATAAATAGTCCACCACCAAGGAACTAGAGTATCATCAGAACTCGTCAGCTTTAATGCTCCTTGTTACCCACTGGACCAGTAGCCTTTCACACCTGATGTAGCTCTTGCCCACCCCCGGATCGCCATAGCAGAACAAGACTGCCTGATCAGATTCGCCCTTCTCACGACCATTATACCAGCTTCTAAACTCCTCGGTATCCAGTAGCCAGCCCCCCACACCTTCCACCCGCTGGTTGCGAATGTCCTGATGCCGCACATGGGGTTCTAAGGGAGATAGCCAAGCAAGGATTTTGGATTCAAGATCGGCAGTCACAATGGTGTAGTTATTCCACACATTATTGAAACAGCCGGTGTTGTCGGTAAAGACTCTAGACATCCTTCCCTCTTCCGCAGCTTGAACTTTTGTAGAGGACAGACTGTTGAAGAGCTTCCGGTCGATCGACAAGGTTCTGGTACGTTCAGAAAAGGGGGGCTCTGCACTCAGCCCTGTGCTCTGGTGATACCGGTAGCCAATGGCAGCCTACCATAATCAAACAACGCGGAACTTGTGAAACCGTGACTGAGCGCATGCGCCCCCCCCCCCCCCAACCACAACACAGTGGCACTGGCAACAGGCCTTTGGAAGAGGCACCACACCTCGGTTTCTAGACTTGCTCATAAATTGCGTACGGTACTACGTTATAAATAATACCGTACTTCACGTATCGTCAAAGTCACTCCAAGTACCAGAGAAGCAAGTCAGTTGTTACTTTACCGGAATATAACCGAAGTACAATAATAAGATTTTGCACCTGTACGAGTGCGGCCGATAAATACATTCGTCACGTGCCTTATCTAAGGACACATCGCAGCCAAAATGTGCACCGAAATTTTCTTATCAGACTCACGTGACGAATATATCTATCGGCCGCACTCGTATGGTGCGAACGGCCGGAGATGGCAGTCATCATATGAAGTGTCGGACAAGAGGGACGTCCTGAAGCAACATTCCGGGGCCGCTATTTTTGCGACAACCCTACTTAC